AAAATTATTTTCAGGCCCTGCGTGTTCATGGATGTCACGCCTGGTTTTCCCCTTGCGCTGGCTTTACCACCTTGTTTGCGCTGGCTTTACCTTGTTGCCCTTCCAGGACGCCTCCATAGCAAGAGCAAGAGCCAAAGCCGCTCAGCTTTTGCGAATGAGCGTCACGCTCGTCATCCTAGTCTCCGCTTCTGCCGCACGCCGGTCGAGCATCTCCAGTCCGACAGCTTTCGTCCACCTCTCTCTTCCCCACGCCGGCGGTGAGCGGCGGGCGATCGACAGACCGGCAAACACTTCTCGAGCCACAAACCAGGAATACAAGATCGAGGCACCGCCCGATGTGGTGGACCTCTTCTCATTCTCAAGTGAGGCTCCAGACTGGCGGGGCGCCTGCGCCTCCGTTGACCGCGCCGACTCCTCGCTGCTCGAGGTCGAGCAGGCCGAGCTCGAGCGGAGTGACCAGGCACTCGGCGACCCGCAGTGCACTCGCCACGTCGCCGCACTGCGTATTCGCCCACCCTTCGCCCCTCTAGAACACCTCATGCGCCGCTCTACCCTGCCCTGACTGCTCTGAGCGCTGCCCTGACTGCTCTGAGCGGCATTCGCTTCTATCATTCTCCTCCTGCGCGCCTGACGGAACCCCCCCTCTCCCTTCTCAGGGAGAGAGCGAGGCACCCGACATGGACACGACCGGCAGCGCTCCCTGGTACCGCCTTGTGGGTACCCTCGTGCTCGAGTCCGGGGAGCCACCCGGCTGCTGGGCCGCCCCTGGCATGGAGCGCGCGGACCAGGCGATCAGCGTGGACCAGGCGATCAGCGTTGTTCTCTGCCGCGCCGCCGCATCGCGTATCGCCAACCCGTCACACCCCTCTGGCCTGCCTGTCGCACGGCCTGCCCTGCGTGCCCTGCCAAGCCACTCGCTTCTCGCTCATCGCGTGACGGACTGTCGCACGCGCTTGCCTTTCTGCAGGCCGAGATCGACACGGCCGAAACGGCCGGCAGCTCCTCGGCCTTCTCGCCCGCCGTCGCCTCGGCGGCGTCCTCGCTCGTGAGCTGCTCGCCGCTTCTCATGCCCGCCCTCGTGCTCATCCTCCTCGCCATCGCCTGCGGCGCCTCCTGGCCGACCGCGGCGAGCGGAAAGGGGGCTTGCGGCGCGGCGCGGCCCACCTGCCTCGCCGACGCCACTGCGTGCCTCACCGGCGCGGCGGCGCCTGCCGGCTTCTTCGCGAGCGCCTTCTCGTGGCTCGCGGCGGGTCCGCCGCAGGTCGCCGCCGCGGTCGCCGCCCTGGCCGCCATCGGCACGGTGATGTGGCGCCGCGACTCAAAGGCCCGCGACTCAAAGCCGAGCTTCGGCTGGTCCAGCCTGCTCGGCGTCCTTCTCTGCTTGGCCACCGTCGCTGGCGGTTTGGCCACCGTCACCGGCGGCGCCGCACTTGTCGCATCCTCAACCGCGCTGCCAGACGTCGCTGCGCTTCCGGCGAGCTCAGTAGCATTGGCGAGAACGCGATTAAACATCGGCGAGAACGCGAGCGACATCGCGGGCTACACCCCCGGCTCGGACGTGACCAAGCACGCGAACCTCGACCTCGACCAGCAGGCGCGGACCCCGAATTCCCCGCACCCTGCATGGCCTGGAATGTTCGCGGCCCCCAGCCCGGACGCCCTTCCTTCGCCCTAGGCGCTAATACAGGTGCTTTATCTGGCGGCCTCCCAATTGGGGACTTGGGAATCCCTTCCTACTCCTTTCGGGGGGAA